TTGAAAACGAATTGCTGATTTCCATTTGGTTCCCAATTTAGCCAGAATGATCGCAACATGCACCCATGGCCAGACCTTTATCACTTTCGATCTGGCAGTACCTGGCTATCATGTGCTGCTGCAAAATCCTTGTTACCAGTTCGTGGCTGGCCGTATGTGACCAGTTCGACGTTGTTAGCTGGCACGAGCTTCGCGGCGACAATGTAAGAGGCAGCTAATGAGGCCATCGCTCCTCCAAGAGAATGCCCGGTCACCTAAAATAAATGGTCTCTAATGGTGAGTGAAAGTTTGCTATTTCCTTCAATAATCGATTATTGATTGGACCCTTTCAGACAAGTCAACTTGTCACGGTTGCAGTTCGGTGCTATGGGAGATCACATTTTTTTGATCTAGGAGTTTTTTGGTAATTTGTAATGGAATTTTTCCACTGCAAATTACCACAAGAGAATTTTGACGTAACTTGGGATCGATTATCGATTAACGGCAACAACGAATTTGTTGTTGCTTCACTATGAACGGGAATTTTTTTATAATGGACCACAATACTGCGCTAGGTTCTTACTGTAAGCAATCGATTATTGATTGCTAAAAAAATCGATTATTGATTGCTCATGAGGAGGGGTCTTCCTGAGTCGAAATGGAATACAACGATTTTTGTGGACTCACCCAAATCTGATATGTGGGATATTTTGATCTGAGTGTGTTGAAATCGTCCTTCATACCACCGTTCCACAAGTTCATGAAAGCATCGCTGAAGTATTTGGACGCCTTTCCGCCAGCGATCCATGCCACCTGAAAGCCACATTAACAATTTGCTAACAAGTAATGAACTTTGAATAGAATTCCAGGACTTTCGGACCATCAAGGACAATTCATAGATTTTCCAGTCAAATTATTCCAGGGATCAGTTCAAGCTGATCGAAAATCATTCCACTAGGGAGATGAAAAAATCGCACGGTTCCAGCGAGACTGGCACCAAATCGCCCAGATAACGCGGAAATGCGTCAATGCGTCGCGGAAACGATAAGGTGCCTTATGGTGTTATAGAATTCAGAAATTGTGAAACTTGGGACTCATGAAGTTTACTCTTTGTAGATCCCCTAGTTTATTTATTGATGCGTACGCCTCAGCGTTGGTGGTACTCTAGCAATGATTTCATAAAATCGAGGTAAAGATATTGGATTGCGATATGGGGGAGGGGGTGAGCAAAGTTTGGAGCTGCTTCGAAAGTGGGTCCATTCCAGTTACGGGGACGTCATGATGCGGTTTTCCTGAAAGCTACAGGTAACTCCGAGCCAGGGGAGTAGGGGGTGGGGGGGGGCAGTCACTTGACATGCGTGAAAAGCTGGAATGTTCGAGTTCACACTAGTTCGCCGAGAAACTGCATCATGATGCCCCCTAACTGGAGGAAACCTTTAGAAGTTGAAGGACTACTCAAAACGGTATCGAAAGTTCATCCCCAAAAAAAGTTAAAGCACCCCGAAAAGCCCATCCTAGATAGACCGTTTTCATTTGTATGATTTCAAATGGTGAAATTGAATTAGGTATGGTAAGTTGTTTCACGACGCATGCTGACCATTACTCTGCGCACTCCGACATATTTGGAATGAAGTCACACATATGCTACGAATAATGGTACCGTCCCCTATAATGGCGTTGATTACGTGCTGTTTGGCAAAGAAGTGCTGTGGAATACCGTGGAATAACAGGAAGATAATAAGCGAAACCTAAAATGAGATTTTCTCGTGCATGAGGACGAGCCCACGAAACAGTAGCCTTAAGATGACTGGATTGGCGTTCAGGGGCAGGAGAAGACTTGGATCGAGGAGCGATAGGCGGACAGCAGATGCAGACATTGAGCGCATCCCAGCAGTTGGCTTGCACGCAATTCGACCCAGCAACGATCCCCCAACCATCGCGATTGATTTTGCGCTCAGCATTCATTCATCTGGAGAAGCAATAGGAGGGTGCTCAAAATAGTACCAGGATGAGCAGAGTATGGCCAAGAAGTCAGAATAGAGGAGCGGTCAATAGTGGCAAAAAATACCTGACTGCTGAACACGCTTTGGTCGGATTCAACGACCAGCTGAATAAACGAGTCTGTACCTCTGAAAATCGAGTACCATCTTTCTGATTCAAGACATTCTTAATGAGACCTTGTTGGATAAGCTTTACCTGAAACTGAGAACAATCGCCTTATCGCCGTTGAGAACGGCCGTATACCCAGAGCATACATCATCCTTTGCTAGTGGACCACATTTCACATTCAACTGACGTTTCAGCTTAACATTCGAATGTAATTGATGAATTATAGATCGATAAATCAATATCGAGACCTACCACAGCATCTGTGAAACGGTTCGTAAGGCACGTTTGTGGCGATTTACCGTAAGCGGCCGCGGCCAATGGCAGCATTTTCGAACGGGCAACCGCGTCCGAATACGTCGCATCGGCCGAATAAGGAGCGGCAAGTGTGAACGGGAGCAAAAGGCAGAGGGCGACGAACTGTCGCATGGCGCTGAAACTTCTTTTTAAACCAGTGGAGGTAACTTGATGGAGCGGAGAAAAATATTTTTTCTTTGCAGAGCATTGAAAGCAGAATGCTCAGTTCCGCGCGAAACGAGCACGATATAGCAGGCTAACAAAGTGCTGGCGGCACCACGCCCACTACGGGAGACTCCGCCCACAATGTGTCAGGTCTGGGGCGGATCTCCTTATTAAGACAAGAGGTAGCATGCCTACCCATGGGTTTTGAAAAACAAGTCGTACCAAAGGTAAAGAGACATTGACGCGAGACATGTCGAATACCTATATTTATGAGGGTAGCATGGTTTCGAGCGAGGCATGCTAAAAAACCGATCCTAGCGGCATAGCCAATATATTTGTGGAGATGGTTCGTGCTTATAAACCCCCCTTCCCCCTCCATTCCAAAATTACTTCAAGTTTTCAGGAAATGGTGGCTGCTACAGCTGGATCGCTCCTCTCCAAAAACCTCTATTGCGGTGTTTCAATCAAACTGATGCTGGAGAAGCAATAGGGCTGCCCAGCTTCAGACGTAAT